AAGCAGAGGTACAGGCAACAGGAAAATCTATTTAGTCAGTCAATGACACAACAACCAAAGGAAACAACCAATCATAAACCGCCTCGTCAAGACAAGCTAGTAAATCACTGAGAGAGAGAGAGAGAGAGAGAGAGAGATATCGACAGCTCACTTCATACTGAAGTTAGTGCTGATGATTTCAGTGTCTAGAATGATGATGAAAACTACAGGCTTAAACAACCCATCTCCTCAAAGAGCACAATACAACCAAGACCATTCACCTGAGCTACAAATATTCTCCAATATAGACTAAAGTATCACTGCTGTAACTGATTGCGTGTTTAAAATAGTTATACTATCTGATGCTATTCCCTCATATATTCGCAAAATAGCAGCCACTATGTCAACAGCGTTCTACCATTTCAATTCAGAATAACAATATTGTTATCATTACTATTATTCTTATTATTATTTTTCCGTTGGGTTCCTAATGGAACATACCGCTTCACTAGCACGTCTCCAATACGCTCCCTTCACTGCAATCCTTTCAACTTGGCTCCACGACAGCACACAAGCTCTCATTTTCTCCTCGCACCATCTCCTCCATGTCAACCTCACCTCGGACAACCAACTCGTCGCTTCCCATCGGAGTTCCACTCGAGTGCCTGTTCTGATGCGTGATGTCACCAGTCAACCTTCTCAGTGTATGCCCAATTCAATCCATCTCCAATTCCTTCCAATGCATATTTGTTGAGCGATAGCTTCTTGCTTCGTTGGTTGGTTGCCAGCTAGCCAGAGTTCTTTGTTGCTTATTCTTTCTGGCAATCCATCTGAGCTTCAGTCACGAGTGAGCGTAGGCGGCAGATGTTGATGAATGTCTGTAGTTTGTCAGAAATGCCTTTGGTAACGCGCCAAGTCTCTGAGTCATTCAGAAGCACTGATTTGACGTTGGTGTTCAAAATCCGGATGTTGTTCACGCTGTGTGCTGAGTGCAGTGCAGAAGATCTCCACACTGGTTTCAGGTTAATCAACACCTGTCTTGCTTTTCCGATTCTGATTGGTTTTGACATCCCCATCTGCACCTATGCCATTTGTAGTTGAAACGATGCTGCCTAAATAGGTGAAGGAGGTTACTTCCCTTAAGTTTCTCCCGTTGATGTTGATTGGAGTTTGTTGTTGGTGGTGGTGTTGTTGTTGGTTGGGTATCATCATCACCTCTCTCTTCTCTACATTCACTTGAAGTTCCATGTTCGCTGCCCTGCCTCATTTGTCAACTTGTTAGTTTTCGCCTGTAGATCTTCGAGTTTATGTGACATCAGGCACTAGTCATCGGCGAAATCCAAGTCTTCTAGTTTCTTTTCCGCGGTCCAGTGTATCCCCCTCTTCTCACTGCCCACTGTTTGCTACATGATCCAGTCGACCACAATCAGGAATATCATGGGGGATAGTAGGCAACCTTGTTTCACTCCTGTCTTCACTTTAAAAGCATCACTGAGCTTCCCAATGTGAATTACTTGGCATGTGTCATCTTCATATAGTTGTTGAATGAGATTGATCAAGGTTTATGGTATTCTGTAGTATTGAAACTTGTGCCTTCCAAATTACCTCTAGGTCGACGCTGTCAAAGGCCTTCTCAAAGTCGATGAAGTCGAGGTGTAGAGTTGACTGCCATTCTGTACTCTGTACTATGATGATGCGTAGTGTAGTGTTGCAATTTAGTCCGCACATGATTTGTACTTTCTGAATTCAGTCTGCCTGTTCCGGTCGTAGTTTTGAATCCAGCATATCCTTCAGCCTCTCCAGGATGATGCGGCTTAAGATTTTGCTTGCATTGGGTGGACACGAGCGTGATTCCGCGCCAGTTCTTGCAAACACTGAGGTCTCCCTTCTTTGGCAGTTTGACAAGATAACCCTTCTTCTAATCAACCGACAGGTACTTTCTCTTCCTTCCACACCTTCTGCAATAGTGGTGCGGTATGAGCATGTCCTCTGTTGTCTCTGCGTCTGCTCTCAGTGCTTTTGGTAGGTTATTGTATGGTCCTCCTGCTTTCCTGCATTTCAGTTGCTTTATGCCGCTCAGGATTTCGATCATTGTTGCAGGATTTATGTTCACTTGTAGTTCAGCGTCTGCAGGTGGTATTTCTGGACGAAGTGCAGGTGGTGGTCGATTCAAGAGCTTCTTGAAGTGGTCGTCCCATTGTTTCCTCTGTTTCTCTTCTTTGGTAATTAGATTTCCTTCATCATCTTTTATTGGTTTCATCTGTGCTCTGTTGATCTCCTCCCAGATAGCAACCTGGTTATTTGATACAATGTTGTCAGGTCTCTGTCTCTCCTACCAGCCAGCCAGCAACCTGTTCTGCTTCACTTGCCAGTGTTTCGTAGAAGTGTCTTTTGTCTTTGCGTGCACTCTTCTCCACTTCTTTGTCCAGTGTAGTGTTTTATACATTGTACTCAGTTCCTCTTGTCGTTGTGCTTCCTTGCACTGGTTTATTTTCTGCTTCACCATCACCATCTTCCTCTCCCTGCTCTATCAGCTTCCATGTATCCACTGAGATCCATTCCTTATCTTCTTCCTTCTTCCTTCCTAATATGGCTGTGCAGGTTTCTTTCCACATAGCTTTCAAAGACTTCCAGTGTTCTTCCACACAGGTTTCATCAGGAATGTTGCTCGATATCTCCCATTTTGTCTTGATGGCTGACGTGAAGTTTCATCCTTCAGTTTCCGAGTGTTTTACTTGAACTGTGGTCTATCACCAGCTTCCTTGAAGGCTTTTAACTTGATTTGGAAGGTTCCTTGCACTAGGTAGTGGTGTGAACCGACATCTGCTCCTCTTCTTGACCTTTTGTTAAGTAGGCTGCGTCTCCACTTTCTTGAGATTGAGATAAAGTCGATTTGATTTTTAGTGTGTCCATCTGGTGAAATCCATGTCGCTTTGTGGATATCCTTGTGCCTGAACACACTGCCTCCAATCACCAAATCGTTGAATGCACAGAATTCTGCAAACAATTCTCCATTCTCGTTCATCACCTCACCGAGCGCTTCTCGACCCATGGTTAGTTCTCTTCCCGTGTTGTCCCCTCCCAGTTTGGCATTCATGTCGCCCATTGGAATTTTGATGTCGCCAACTGACGTCTTGTCCAGTGTTGATTGAAGTTGTCTGTAGAATTCCTCCTTTTTCTCTTGCTCTGCATTATTTGTACGTGCATTGCATTGTGTGATTGTGACCTTCCTTCCTTTTGAGTTGAACCTTGCTGTCATGATCCTGGAGGAGATTGGTCTCCACTGCATGAGAGCCTTTGATGCTCTTGAAGGGAACATCATGATAGCCACTCGAAAACTCAATGTGCTGGTGGTTGTCATCTGAGTGACCGGAGTAGATTATTGATTCTCCAGTTGACAGTTTGGAGAGTCCACTCCCATTCCATCTGCTTTCGCAAATTCCAAACACTTCAATGTGATACCTTCTCACCTCCTTTGCAATCTGGGCTGCCTTGCTGGGTTCAAACATCGTGCGGACATTCCATGTCCCCACGTTTACTTTCGCTGTCATCGGGGGAGAGGAGACACATCGGCCAATTGGCTTCCCGAAGGCTTTCACCAACTGGCGTCATTTTGCCTCTCTGATTCCAGTGGGGAATAAGTTTGTTTTCATTTTTTATATATCATTTGTGCTTTGAAGTTTCTTTAGCGGTTAGATTTGTTTTACGGTGTAGGGTTGCAAGCCCTATGCCCAACCTTCCCTCTTTACCCGGGCTTAGGACCGACTAGTAACTAGTGAACTAGTTAACCAGGCGAGGTTAGAATAACAATGATAAAATGAAATTTTATTGAAGGATTCTGAATCCTAACGAAGAAGCTCCTGGACAATTAAAACCATCAGTTATTTCTATCACGATCGTTCCTGGTATAATGAAATGGAAGATGGTGGTCTGATGTCTCCTAAGCTTTAGTTATTTTGTCGCGGACGTTTCATCATCAGGCTTGGCAACATCATATCAACACTAGTTTCACAAAGAAGTGAAACACATTTGAATGCTACACGAGTGTTTAAACAGCGTTTTTATTGACCTTGGGTGCTGTCCAAATGTAAGTTGTGGCAATGATCTTTATAACATCTTGACCTCTTTAACCTTGAATCTTCTCCGGTTACACTGATAGAGAATCTTCATGTCAGAGTAAAGTTATGCTATTTGTTGCTGTCACACGACGCATCATTATTGGTTCGTTCATTAAATTCGCTCTTGATTGATGAATGGCTGTTTTCTTCCCAAGTAGATTGTAGATTAGATCTATATCCACTGGTCTGTTGACTGACTTTTCTTTGAAATGCCATACTCTTGAAGATTCTAGATCTTCACTCCCTCTAGTCAAATCTGTGGTTGTGATATTATGCATCCACTGAAACCTTGGAGGCTACAACATGTTACTTTACTGCTATCTGATGTTTATGAATTCAATCTTAATATCTTTCTGAAGTTAGTGCTGAAGATGTCACCATGCCCCTTGATGAAATATCTACGACAAAATATCAGAGCTCAGAGAACACCAATAGATCTATGTTTATTAAAATAGATCGTACTTTAGACAGCATCAGTTGAAAAAACTCACCTCTCAGACTGTTTTTACTAAGGTGTCCGAGAGTCAATAGTTACTCCTATGAGGAGTTAAGTTGATGGAAAACCTGCTGTAGCTTGGGGTTCCTACTGGCCGGGAGCTTTATGCGGGTAAGATATGATACAAGATTGTGAAGATTGACTCAATTTCACTTATGTTTTCAAAAGTGGCACTCTACTGTAATCTGAGACATAGACTGCTGTTATTATTCAAAATACACTAACAGTCTACCTGTTTACTAAAACGCTTACCAACTTTTAATTTCAATGCTGATAAAGTTAAAATTTTTCTTCAAATTCATTCAAACAATATCTACATTGAAAGAAGTATCTGATGAAGAATGTTACCTAAGAGGCTTTGTTTTGAAGTACAGACTCGTCTTCTTTTTCTTAATTTCACCTTTCAGCTGAATTCATTAATTGTTAGCAATATACTGACGTGTGTTTTAGCCTTTGGTATGATCGCTGTCTACAGCTGGATGCTGATAGAAGGTGTTCACCTGTTGAATATTCTATTTTTAACCTTCACTGTAAGACGATTTCGGTTCTCTTGTTACAGTATGATTGGTTGGGGTAAGTGAATTCATCTGTTTACTTGTAGAAACAGTTTTATTTCATGTTTTCAACAGTTATGTAACGCTTCATGACAAAAATAGTGTAGATAAAGGTTAGACTTACAAGGCGCAGTCGCAAAGACAAATGATTCCCTATCTACTGTTTGACAATGGTCCTCCGAGAAGGGTATTATGCCTAATTCCTCAAAATGTCAAACCATAAGCTTTAATTTTAGATGTGAACAAAAGTTATGCAAACTGCTTAGTTCTAATGATTCCAGCCTGAATGGTAGTTGTGCATTTAAGAATGATAAAAATGCGACTTATCTCTATGTGCATTTTTCTTCCGACCTTTCCTGGTCTTCTCATATCTTACTAATTTCCAAAACAGTTTTCCGCCCAACTTTCTATATAATAAAGACAGGGACAGTCTAGTATAACTTAAACTCTCATCTTGTGTTTCATAAACTCCTGCATCTTACCTGTTTTCCTCTATTGTTCTCCTTTATTCTTTCCTAGGTTACTGGAAAAAAGACTATACTATATTGCACAGAACTTTTAAGACTGTCAGCAAAACTAGTGGTGTATCTTTAAACCTGGTTAAAACAATTTTAGAAAAACATCTTGACTCATACGAACACCCGGTAGGAGTTATTTTATCAGGTGACCAGAATGCTCATCACACATAGCACTCTGCATGTTGGTTATCAGGAAAGACAAGGAGCAAGTAAATAAGATTTGTTTATTTGATGAATAACACATAACGATATAGTATCATTTACTTGATGATGTTCCAAGCATAAATTATCATCGTTCACAATCATATCAATGTGTAATCACACCGCTGTCAACATCTACTTACATATTCCCATCACCTCTTATTCTTTGTTTCCATTGGTAGTAAAATGCTTCATAACTCCGGTGTAAGTGTTGCATCATTCCTATTACATGTGTTGGGTGTTGGCTGATTCGATGGACGAAGGCACAGTAATCACTTCTCTTCTCTATCTCTCTCTCTCTCTCTCTCTCTCCATGTTATTATATTGGACTTAAGCACAGTGATTTCATCCCATCCAGTCTGTTGTGTGGTTGTGTGTTACTGCGTGGAATGCGATAGCCGAGCCGAGTTGTCTTCTACAGTATTGGTCTTATTCGTATCTATCATTCTATATTTAGCCGAATTCCTATGTTCCGACAATCCAAATGACCCCGACTGACCAATTCGACCTATGCACTTGATCTCGTTCACAGTCATTCCATGGGATTTGATTGATGAGATTATTTTGCTGAATTGGTTTTATCGGATTTTTGAGCTAACGGACAAAATGCATCTGTGAGTGAGTTGGCAGGTAAGAATGCCACCATAACTAATTTAAGCCTCGTTGACGATCCTACGAAAACTTTCTTATGCTCCTTCCTCATATTGTAACACAATGGAGGCTGTGAACTCCTTTCTACTCTGCTTGTCGTCATTGTTTGTACTCGTGTTGCTGTTATTATTTCGTTTCTTGTGTGTTCGTATGAACTTGTTAATAAAGTGTAGAGGGAAATTGTAATTTATTGGTGTTTCCTTTATGTGCTTCATTTTCTTTGTTTTGATCGTTGGACTGACTGGTGAGTTTTCTAGCTCCATCATTTAAACATTTGACTAAGCTTGTCCTAACTGACCGACTGACTGACTGACTGACTGACTGAGTGACATTGGATGAGATGACTTGAATGAGGTCTAGGTATCTGTTGGAATGTGTTGGTTTTGTGTAGACGGTAGTATGAAGACCACCATTTGTCCTTCGTTTTATCCTGTAACTCAACATAGGCAATTCTCTTGTTTTCTTTTCCATCGCGTCTATTAAGAAATTCTTTGATGAAACTAGTCGGTCGTGGTTATTCATATTAACGAAACATTGGAATTTCGCTAAATGTAGAATGACAGGCAGCAATATAATCACTGATCTGGAAAAGTAACTAGGATATCGCATTTTATGCATTAAGACACAATCACATATTGGGGTGGGATAAAACAACTTCGCTCAGGTTCAGTATTATTAGATGGAGACAGAGAGGAAGAAGAGGTGTGATTACTGAATCTCTGTTTATCGAAAGATCAATGCCCAACAAATGTAGTTGGAATGACACAACACACACCAAAGATATTCAAAAAATTTCTAGCAATGGAGACAAAGGATAAAGGTGACAGGAATATAATAAACAGATGTCAAAACTAGTGTGATTACACATTGATATGATGATGAACGATGATAATTTATGCTTGGAACGTCATCCAGTGAACAATACCATATCGACCTTTGTGGTGTTTATCAAACAAATAAATCTAATATGGAATTAAATTCCACCATATTACCCATGTTTTATACACATACATAAAGTACGTAAAACTTTATGCATGAACTACAAAATATAAAATTCTTGATTATGATATTTAGCTTCTTTGTGGTGTGATGAAGAAATCATTGAAAAAAAACTTACTCATACAATTTTGTTTTGGAAAGTAAACTTATTAGAGATTGCACAGTTTGGTGTTACCTTTAGTACTATGAATCTAACTGGTTAAATGATTGGCTATCTAGGTGATGGAGTGTAATTTATGCTTATTTCATTTAGTTGTATCTACGTATATATTATTTCTGTTCAATTGATGCTATATGATAAACTGAAAACGCTGCATAGTATTCCTGAAATAGCTTTCAGAATGAAGCTTATTTCAAAAAGTCCATGAAGCAGCAATGAGAGAATTGTATCAGTCAACTGTGTAATCATTTCCGCTGAAGTAAATGATTGAAATCTAGCCTGCCTACTATCTTTTGGATAACTAGTCGATATCGTTAGTGTCGAAACATCAGGTGTAGTCTGTATACAAGTTTGCACTGATATTAAATTGTATGTCTCTATCTTTCTCTGAAATATTATTATTATTTGTCCCTTGGGTTCCTAATGGAACATACCGCTTCACTAGCACGTCTCCAATACGCTCCCTTCACTGCAATCCTTTCAACTTGGCTCCACGACAGCACACAAGCTCTCATTTTCTCCTCGCACCATCTCCTCCATGTCAACCTCACCTCGGACAACCAACTCGTCGCTTCCCATCGGAGTTCCACTCGAGTGCCTGTTCTGATGCGTGATGTCACCAGTCGGCCTTCTCAGTGTATGCCCAATTCAATCCATCTCCAATTCCTTCCAATGCATATTTGTTGAGCGATAGCTTCTTGCTTCGTTGGTTGGTTGCCAGCTAGCCAGAGTTCTTTGTTGCTTATTCTTTCTGGCAATCCATCTGAGCTTCAGTCACGAGTGAGCGTAGGCGGCAGATGTTGATGAATGTCTGTAGTTTGTCAGAAATGCCTTTGGTAACGCGCCAAGTCTCTGAGTCATTCAGAAGCACTGATTTGACGTTGGTGTTCAAAATCCGGATGTTGTTCACGCTGTGTGCTGAGTGCAGTGCAGAAGATCTCCACACTGGTTTCAGGTTAATCAACACCTGTCTTGCTTTTCCGATTCTGATTGGTTTTGACATCCCCATCTGCACCTATGCCATTTGTAGTTGAAACGATGCTGCCTAAATAGGTGAAGGAGGTTACTTCCCTTAAGTTTCTCCCGTTGATGTTGATTGGAGTTTGTTGTTGTTGTTGTTGTTGGTGGTGGTGTTGTTGTTGGTTGGGTATCATCATCACCTCTCTCTTCTCTACATTCACTTGAAGTTCCATGTTCGCTGCCCTGCCTCATCTGTCAACTTGTTAGTTTTCGCCTCTAGGTGTTCAGGTTTGTGCGACATCAGACATGAGTCGTCGGCGAAATCCGAGTCTTCTAGGCTCTTTTCTTTGGTCTAGACGACGTATCCGTCTCTTCTCGCTCCTCACTGTTTGTTGCATAATCCAGTTGACCAGTCTCTGGAATAAATAAACTGTAATAGATAACAAACTTTCACAATTTCGAGCAATCATTCTATGGATACCTGTTTGATATGCAAAACTGTTTTTAGCTTACAAATTGTACAGTTCACCTACCGCAGAGGTGAATAAATTCTGCTATTTTTGTTCTGGATATGTGAATGCTCAAAAGGCAATTTGCATAATTCTTAAACCACAAATTGTTGTCATTATTCTGCAAAATATGATAAAAACTCCAAATGTATAACTAACAAAGATGAGAAAATGCAAAAAGAAAATGAATGCAAATGAAGCATCTTTCTTTATTTATCATTTTGAAAGAAAAAAAATTACCAAAGAGAGTATCGCAATAAATTATGACATGAAGTGATTGGTAAATATAACTATATAGTGTGATCGATTAGAGTAACTTTCAACCAGAGTCGACACAATTTACTCTGTGTTATATGGCTGGCTAAAACTGAATAGAAATGAAATGTGAAGTAAAACATTCTATTCCCAGGATACATACTACTAATGATTAACTACAGTAGTTAAAAATTAGATTAAAAAATAGATTTTGCCCTGAAGACAAGAGTGATCTAAATACCAGACGGCAGTTCTGACCATTTTGGGTCAAGCCAGCTGATCAGTGGTATATCCAGACGAATCCAGCTCAGCGCAGAGTAAATACAAATATGTCCATATGAAACACTGGATTTCTATCCACTTTCAAGTGAAAAATATCCATGCTGGACCGGTGAAAAGACCTTAGAAGATTTAGATTTCACCGATGATTTATGTCTAATATCGCACAAACTCGAAGATCTACATGCGAAAACTAACAAGTTGACAGGAGAAGCAGCGAAGACGAGACTTCCTTCACGTGAACGTAGATAAGACAGAGGTGATGAAGATAACCAACCAACAACAAGCAGCAATCACCATGAACGGGAGAAATCTGAAAGAAGGTGTTTCTTTCATCTACCTACCTACCTACCTACCACCCCATACCTACCTACCTACCTAGACAACATCGTCTCAGCTGAAGAAGAAATGGACGCTTGTGTGGAGATGTGGAACGAGGTTGGAAAGACTGTGGTAAAGGGAGTGAAATGGCGACGTGCAGCTCAAGGGATAGATAATTTTAAAGAATGTAAATTAAGTGCTGGAAAACAGAATTTCAGATAATCTTTCAAATAAAATAGTTGACTAAATATTTTCAATCTTAAAAACACATTTCGCATTTCCATAGTACAGATGGTGTTTTGTTTAATCACTTTTTTCTTAACCATAGGAGTTCCAGCCATTTTAACTTCTTCTTGGGCAATTGCAAAGTCATTGAAACTAGGAAATACAAGGTGGGTGGACACTTTTAAATCAATTCTAAGATTCATTTTGGAGGTTTGTGGGGATATATTCATTTCGTGTAGGCATTCATCAAAGAATAAAACCAACTAGGTAACTATTAAGAACCTGAGAGCATTGGGCAGCCGTTTCGTCCTGACATAAGAATCTTCAGCGGTGCACACCTAAAATAAATCAGAAAATTCCCTGAACAACCTAAATATTGAACTACTTTCCTGTTTTCATTAGTCACATACCTCAGGGTGAGATTTTCCACTGAGAAGTTGGCACCGGTGAAGTTAACCAAGTCGGACATGAGGATAGGTATTCAATGACGGGATAGAATACGGGTCTTGCTATATCATGAATTGACAGAAGAAGGAAAAGTGAAACCATAGTATTCCAACCCATTGGTTAAATGGCAACGTATTTCCTGTGAAAGCCGAAGGTTATAGTTTGAATCCCAGGTTCATAGTTGAGCACTGTTCAGAAGTTCTATGCTACGATAAAACAGCCGTCCAGTTCTGTCAGAGTTTTCATGTATCTTGAACACTAACTCTAGCTATGAGAATTTCAAATAGTCATTGATAAGGACAGACATCCCATCGTAGTTAGTTTTGATTCGATTGAAGTATAACATGCTATGACATCGAAGGAGGCCATTTCATTATCCTTGTCTATGTAGACAATCTGGATTGTTTTGAAATATTTTGCATCCGTCTCCATGCAGTGTTTGCATAAATTTACAACTTATTACAGTTCCTTCAAAAGCCCTCGCGACAGTTTGCATACGAATGTAAAGACAGAATTTCTGCATCATGGAAGAGTATTAAAAGACTTTATTTGATATTATACAGTAAATCTGCAATGTTACATCAACGATTAAATGACGTTGCCTGGAAACGAGACTCTTGGTTGTAAGGGAAGTGAAGTTTTGACTTCATATCACATTGTTTATTTGAAATTGGGCAGCGCATAAGAATGCAGCATTATTTACTGGATGACGTTTTGATCGGCTTCTTTAACTCATAGACCTCCTACTCATTACAAGTCGTTTGATAGATTAGGTTATTTTCCCTAATTGACTCTACTAGATTTTTTAGCCTACAAGGCGAGTTTGTAAGTTTAAATACCTCTCGTATTGATCAAAACCCTAAGTAGGATTTTCCATGTGCTTTCTTTATACGATAACACTATATAGGATTGTGATCCCGTCCTAGTTATGTTTTAATCAACACTAACATTATCATTCGTTCTCTTATCAAGCCTTATACACTTCCTGATAAGTTTTGGAGGTAAGTTATTAAGAACTAGTGTCCCTTACAAATGTTTTATTACCTTATCTAGGTTTTCTGACTTATTAATCAAACTCCTACATTCCAAGTGATCCACAATGGAAAGCTCAGTGACACCTGTGAAGTCAAAACAGGAGTAAGATAAACCTATCTACTATCACCTATCATCTTCCTGATTGTGGTCGACTGGATCATGCAGCAAACCATGAAGAGCGAGAAGATGGGCGTACGTTGGACCGATGAAAAGACCCTAGAAGATTTGGATTTCGCCAATGATGATGATTTATGTCTAATGTCATACGTCACACAAACTCGAAGATCCACAGGCGAAAACTAACAAGTTAACACAAGAGGGGAGGCAGTGAAGACGGGACTTCAAATGAATGTAGAGAAGACGGAGATGTAGATGGAGATACCCAATCAACAACAGCATCAACAATCAGAGGCACCAATCACCATCAACGGGAGAAACTTCAAGGAAATAGTCTCTTACACCTACCCAGGCAGCGTCGTTTCAACTACAAGGAGCACAGGAACAGATGAGCGTGTCAAAACCAGGATCGGAAAGGCAGCAAGACAGGCGTTTCGGCAGTAATCTGAAATCAGTGTGGAGATCTACCGTACTCAGCGCAAAGTGTGACCAAGATCTTGATTTTCAACACCAATTCAGTCAAATCAGTTCTTCTATATGGTTCAGAAACTTGGTGCATCACGAAAAGCATTCCCAACAAACTACAGACACTCATCAACAGCCCCAACTACACTCACTTGATACTGAAGATGTAGATTAGATGACCAGAAGGAATAAGTAACAGCTAACTGACTCTGGCAACGAACCAACCAAGAACGTATCGCTCAACAAATATGCAGGAGAAGAGAGTAGAGATAGATTGTACATACACTAAGAAAGTCATTCGGAGACATCATGCACCAGACCAGTTTCTCGAGTGGAATCTAAAGGGGAAACGATGAGTTGGGCGTCCGAGGCAAGGGTGACATGGAAGAGATCATGTGAGGAAGAAATGAAAGCTTGTGGGCAGTCGTGGAGTCAGGTTCAAAAGACCGCAGAGTGCTACCGAAGCCGTAGGTTCCACTAGGAACCCAATGGAAAAAACTAATAGTCAAACTCCTAACCCTATTAAGTAATAGGGCATTTGATCAAGCCTATTTTGACAGATATAGCGTGAGATGATGTGAAACTTCAGTTATCTATTCAAACCCTTTGATATGTAAGCTACCATCTCCTCTCGTCTTGACTTTGCAATTCAGTATATGTAATTCCCCTTCTTCATTTTGTAATACATAAGTGAGTCGGATTGCATCAACTATCCAGTTAATATGTTCAAAAGAACCCTAGATACGTTCTGACTTCAACACAATAAATGTATCATCTACATATTGGCATCACACTTTTGAGATGGGTTAGAATGTTCTTAAGACTATCTGTTCCCAGCTGTCCATAAATATGTCTGCTACGACCAACGATACTACGGATTCCCTCGCTACTCCTTTTGTTTGTTTACATATATTGTCTTAAAATTTGAAAAGCGTGGAGATTAAACACAATCTGATCCCTAGCAAAATTTCCTCATCTGAAACTTCAGTTCTATCACTGAATTCATTGTCAGTTTTAGGTTCATTTCTGACTCCTTCAAGTACCATATTACCTCATCAGATCAAAACTGATCGTCTTTTGTCATTCTTTTAATTGTATATCATTTAGTCTGTGTTTCAATTCAAAGGAAATGATGAGGCTAGACCATAAGCGGTGTTTAACAGGACATAGTATTCCAGCTGAATATTTAGATAACTCATATACTGGTGTCTTTTGTAAGTCAACCAGCTGTCAAACACGATAAACTGGCTTATGAATTATAATAGTACCGAATTTTCACACTTTACACTATGAAGAAGCGAAAATAACACGCATATACACCATTTTAAAATTACCTCAATAGTTGTTTCTGTACAAATAATCCTTATATATGACTACTTCAGAGATGGGGAAATTTTCCCATGAGCATCAAACTTGTCTCACAAGATTAAATAGAGAGAAAATTCGATAGCATCCAAATTTTACCTCCATTCTACAAGTCAAAAGTGAATCACATGTTACTTCCCAGTGTTACAGTAATGTAACCTAGTCAGCCTGCATATTTCATTGTAGTTACGTACTGCTGAAGAGACCCATACCAAGACGAAACCCCTGTTCAGTTATCCTAGGTTCTTCAATTGATGTCAGTTTACGATGAACACCACTTTAGAGTAACTTGATTAGGTAATATATGAGTGGATTATTGAACAATAAATAACCATAAGGCATCAACCTTTAAGGTTACTTGTTTCCTTGAAAACGGAAATTATCAGTGAAGTGATAACAACTTTACAGTCCACTCAAAAGGTGTTTAAAAATATAAGTCTTAATATTCTCCATACTCCTCCAAAATAACACTTCCTATTGCCGAAACTCTATTTACTTATCTGAAGTTCACACGTATAATCATGTGGCTTTTCGTCATTGTTCAACATGCAATGATTGGTCCTGAATATTTCTAGGAGATTTCAGGCTTGTTTTAATAAACTAGAAGGTAATCTTTCACTCTATAACAATAGCATACAATGAATAGAAAACAAAAAAGTGATATATGGTGATTTACTTGGTTGTAGCTAGCAGAGGAATCCCGGAGGTGCGTTTCATCTTATTTGGGACTTATCAGCTGAATGTACCTACACTTCAGTGATTAGTGATGTTACATTCTTTGAGATTCGAACGCAGAACTTATCGTTTCAACTATCAAGGTGTTATTTGCTAGGCCAGTGAGGTACTATGACCATCTCTTGTACAACAGGTTTTAGTTATAATTATTTGTTGATGGAAGTTCATATGTCAACAGAGGTCGAACAACTGAATCCAGTATAACAGCGGAGACTACAAGTATATCAACAAATGGTTATAAACAAGTGCATTCGGTCTGAATGCTTAAAAACGGTGAGATAAAAATGTTAACCAGGAGTAAATGAAATGATTGCTGAAGGTTAATGAGCAAAAAAACATTTTGTAAGAGCCAACTTCTGACGTTTACATGTACAGAAGATTTTCCAGAATAAAAAAGATGTGGTTAATTCATCGGAGCACCCTAATGATCTTATTGTTTGCTTGCAGTTTTCCTTCATTGACTAAACTGAATTAATCGATCTGTGTTGGCGTATAGACTCCTACGTGAATTTCAATAGAGACCGATTGATTCTGTCAAGTTAATGGTAGCAGATTACAAGCAATAACGTCAAACCTATACCAGTCACACAAGAAGTGACTGTCGTAGCTCATTGGTGACGTGGATAATGCTCTGGTGTTTGAATCGGTCTGTTCTTGGTTCAATTCTTGGTAAGAAAAGCAATACTAACTGGTAGGGGAGTTACATCCAGCCAATGGGTCTCAAATAGGACGAAACATCCCTCCTAAATCCCACTGCTAAAAAATATCTATAATCTCCGCAGAACGCTCCGCTATCTCCAAAAGCCCCGCAATATAAGGACTCAAACTTAAGGCATGGAAATGTTCATCTACATATATCTATTGGGTCTGTACTGTGAATGGTCCTCTCCCATTCTGCATTCCTTAGTAGTGTTCAGTTCAAAATAAGCTGAAGTATTGTCACTTTAGTCCATATTGTAAAACTTGAACAGATTTCTGGTGGGGACAACGTCACTCATTAAATAACCAAGGCAGGTATATCCAACTTCATGTGTGTCCTGCATTTCACTGCTAGTCACTGTTCATCACTAGTTTGGATAAATTAGTTTGAAAATGGTTAAATTCAGTTTGTTTTCTTGTAAGATGAACTATAGGATGCTAGATATTGTTAAATAATAATTCAGCCGGAAAATCATCCCCTGATCAACTGAACTGACACTTGTCAATACACTTTATAGATTAGCTCTCGTTTATTCCAAAAGTTTTACTCATAGACTCAGTGTCATCGATGACATTAGTATGGAGATTTTGACAGAAATTCGTCAGTTTAGCACTGATGATGGTTGGGTCATATCGCAAAATGCATCCCACAGGCTGAAGAATAACAATATGGTGTCATCGCAATCTGGCGGTCCTGAATTCTATCTGATATTTCCTTCTGATACGTACTGCTGATGAAATCTGACTAAAGACAAAACATCGGTAGGGAAAAATGACCCAGATTTACTGTATGGAAGTAGACTATAGAATGTGAAGATGCGTTTCCGTACATCGATGTAATGTTAAATTTTGAAAAGCTTTGAGACTGAAAAATTGTAACACAACATGCTGAAAAATCTCCGTCAACATCTAAGGAAAACTAACCCAGATAATAAGATTTATTCATTTTGGAAGCTTGTGGGGTGGTATTGATCAATGACTAATTTTAGTTGGAGAAACATTAAAATCTATGAGCGCTGGACAGCTGTTTCGTCCTAGCATATGACTCTTTAGCAGGGCGCACTCGTGACCCTGCCTACAGGTTCCACGGCCAACACGTTACCATTGAGCCACAAGGAATCTAATGATCGATATTTCCTACTTTGGTCAGTTCACGACATCAACCCCAAATTAATAAGATTTACACTCTTTTTCAGCACATCTGGAGCATCACATTCAAAAGTTATTTAAACCTTTCAAATGAAATTTTGTTCACTGTTGTTAGATCTAATGAAGCCTAAAAATAGACTCGCCAAGCAAAACATTATCTTGTAAGATGGATGGTGTATGCCGGAAAATCAGATTCCTGACCAAAGGTTCACTTTTCTTGAGGTGTAAGATGAGGCATATTTTTGGAAAGAAGTGTTACACATAGCAACCTTCAGTTTTTTGTTTTAAATGACTTTTTCAATTTTTTTTTAAGGAAAGAATTGAAGTTAGTTTGCTAAACACTGGAAGCGAATAGTTATCTCAAAGATTTCATAAAAGGAATTTTTAAAAAAACGAAGTTGATAATTTACCAAAGCTCCCTCCGAAGAATTGGATAAACATCTTGGTTATCGCTTATCGTGGCAAGACCCTGGAAGAAATAAAAAGGATTCTCAACGGATACGTCATTACAGTCCACATTCTTGCAAGAAATACCCCTATGCTCTAAATTACCGAAAACTGAAGATGTAGTGTACCTAAAGAAAATCAACAGAACTGCTTTTATGAAATAATATGCGCAGGTTGTAATACAGTTTATGTGAAGAAGACAGCCAGGCAGCTAAATGTAAGACTGAACGAGTATAGCAGATCTCAAACCCTCAACAGAGGTTAAGTAGCCAGGAACTACACTATACAATTGATTTCGACTGAACTAAGGTTCTACAAAATAGGTCATACCTAGTAAGACTGATAGTGGAACCTCTACATATATCTGCGAATTCACATAGTTTTAACAAACGAGATGGAGCAGAGTAAGCCGCCTGTTGTCAGTTACTAATTAGTAAGCGGAAAGAGTGACTCTGGCACCTGCCTTCAACAACAGTCTCAACTTTATTGTCTGTATATCAGTAACAACAAACAACCTGGAGTGATTTGATTTATTATTATTATTATTTGCACTGGATTGTGATTGATAGTGGAATGGAAATTTAATCTGTGATCGAATTCGAACCAGCAACCGCCGAGTTTCTGGCCCAATGCTCTAAGAACTGAGCTACTAGGTTCAATTGCTGACCAGATTTTTATTTCACTTTAATTACCATGGGTTTTGCCGAACTACCATGTGGATTTGTGATGTGTTGCTACAGCTTGATCATATTCCCACTGGATGCCTAGTCAGAACTTCTCGTACCAATTAATATCCAAAGGAAATGAAGAATGGATGCGGAGCATCATACTGATTATCCTTTACACTATCTGAGATATTCATACTGGGTGATGATTGGAAATGAAATGCAAATTTGGACCACGGCCAGACTCTCTGGTTCGAACTCGTGATTTGTACTACCTCTTAATTGGAATCCCCATTAATCTCAAAATTCCAGCTACTTACGACACTGACATCATCAGCACTAACTTCAGTATGAAGTGAGCTGTCGATATCTCTCTCTCTCTCTCTCTCAGTGATTTACTAGCTTGCCTTGACGAAGCAGTCTATGATTGGTTGTTTCCTTCAACTGTTGTGTCATTGACTGACTACATAGATTTTCCTGTTGCCTGTCCCTCTGCTTCACCTCTGACCTCTCTGTCGTTTACCATCTTTCATATTGGTTGATAGGTCGGGTCTATGTCTATGTGTCCATTGATTGTTGACTGACTGAGCTGAATGCCAAGCTTCTAGGAATTCGCTGGTGATATACTTTGTGTTCCCTCTCTCCCTTCAAGATTTCTACATTGTCGAAATTGAATTCATGTTTATAGTTGTTATCCACATGCATTGAGATGAGTGATGAAATGTCGTGTGTGTGTGACGTTTGTTGGCCAATTGTTGTTCATGTGAGGGAAGGCGAAGAGGGTGATCACTTTGTCTAACACTACAGTGTTGACTACAGTTGTTGGAGTTGATTTTGTAAATGATATTCGGTTTGTCTCCTTTGCTTGTTGCATCCTTTGGTCTGCATAATAGTGTTTGTAGGTAATCGGTTGATTTATGGGTGGCCACACTAATTCCGAGTGGTTTCAGTAATCTTGTCGTAATTTCTGATATATTGTTTATGTATGGTAAGATGATGCGTTTATTGATTTCTGTTGATGACTTTGTAGTTGATGATGTACGGGATAGGCATCTCGTTATAAAGTTTCGTTGGTAGCCGTTCTTCTTTAAAGGGTGGACATCAAGTAATTTTCGTCGTTTCTTCATGAAGTTTTTGCACCTCAGTCCAGTGTGTTCTCGCTCTTCTGAATAGAGTCTGCACGCAACTGACCTTGTGGGTTGTTGCTAATGTAGTTGAGGGCTTTGTCAGTGTGTGTTGGCTTCCTGCACACTTAGGTTTCCAGTTCTGCGGTGTTTGTCCTACTGACTTAAACATCCAGGAATGGTAGTTGGTTGTTTGACTCCTTCTCCATTATGAATTTGATGTCACTGAAAACTTTGTTGATCAAATTGTGGTGTTTTCCATATAATTTTTTAATGATGACAAAAGTGTCGTCCACATAGCAAATCCAGAATTTTGGTTTAATCCCAGGTAGGATGATGGCTTCTAGTCTCTGCATCACTGCTTCTGCAATCAATCTGAATATCGGGGATCCCATTGGAGTGCTGATGATGTTGTCTAGAAGGACGATAAAAGCTTCAGGCTTAAACAACCCAGCTCAGAGAACACAATACAATCAAGACCATCCACCTGAGCTACAAATATTCTCCACTATTTCAAATGACAGTAAATAGTACCGAAGTTATCAGTAGTAGTGTGACTAGTAGTAGTTGTAGTATTAGTGCAGGTAGTAGTATTAGCTGCTTTGTTAGTAGTAGCAGTAGTGCTAGTGTGAGCGATAAATGTGTGAGTGGTAGTAGTAGTGCTACAATCATATATCCTTATCTTAAAGAAACATTTCCATGGTAATGTTCTTATATAGGCATACCCTTAAATTCTCATTGGTATTCAGACTGGAATATATGCATATATATCAAAATTATCAAGGGTGAATAACTCTAGCCAATATAAAGGATTTCCTTGAAAAAATTTCAAGTTACAAGAACTTGTTTATATGTTTTCGCCTTCTCTTTTTTTTTCAATTACCTTTTTTGTGTAACTTTTTTTAGTCTTTGGCCTGAACCAACAACATCTGATCCTGAAGGTATTCTTGTTGTCACGTCAATTTTAATTACACTTGCTGTAAGTTTATGAAGTTGTTCAATTTGTTGTTTAATAGAGAGAGAGAGAGAGGGAAAAGTGGTTCAGGGAACTAGTTGCTGCATGATTGCTACAAAACAATGACGTATACAACATGCGTTTACATTCTTTGGTGTTCAATTTAACATTTAGGATAAATGTATGTACTGCGTTAATGTGCTGTTACTTGCAAAAGTCTTTTATATGGTGCAGTAATAGAAACAGATGGTGTGCGAGACAACAGGAAAGTTGTCAAAATAAACAAAGCCAGTTTCGATTTGCTTGGTAGTAGTTGGCAGTATGAAACCACAACGAGAGTTGTGTCCTATTTCAGACTCTTCAGTTGGATGTTGTCCCCACCAAGACTCGAAACCAACACTTTACACTTTAAGCAGCAAAGCGTCATCCATATAGGCTACTGAGACATGTTAGCTACCTCTTGCGCAGTGGGTATCAGTTGTTGTTTACTGATACGTATAATTTCTTGCCGTTATTGTGGATCTAACTGAACCAGTCTCTGTTGTCATTGATTATTACTGCTAGGCACCATCAAGTGAGTTAAAACATAATCAGTAAAATCAAGCAATATCGTGGTATCCTCAGTCAAGTATTTATATTATATTATTTTATTGTTATATTGTATTATTAGTTGTCCATTGTGTTCCTAGTTAAACATAGGGCTTCAGTAGCTGTCACCGTTTCACTCTCTTCTATCCAGTCTTTCTAACCTGGCTCCACGTCTGCCCAGAAGTTTTCATTTCCTCCTCATACCATCTTATCCATATCACCCTCGGATACCCAACTAGTTGTTTCCCATTTGTGTTCAACTCGACGGTCTGGTCTGATGTATTATGTCCACAACCCGACTTCTCAGTGTACGTACGTCCAATCCATCTACGCTTTCTTCCCCTGTATATTTGTTGGGCAATGAGTTCTTCGTTTGTTCGTTGCCAGGCCAGAGTTCCTCCTTGCTTATTCTTTCTTGCCATCAGATCTTCATTATCATTATCGAGTGAGCATAGGCGGCAGCTGTTGATGAATGTCTGTAGTTTGTTGGAAATGCTTTTCTTAGTGCGCCAAGTTTTTGAATCATATAGAAGCACTGACTTGACTGACATTAGTAGTGTTGAAAATCCGAATCTTGTTGTTTATGTCGAGTGGAGTGCAATGGAGTGCAGTAGATCTCAACACTGATTTCGGATTGTTGACGGCCTGTTTTGCTATCTTTCCTATCCTGTCTTTGACGTCCTCATCTGTGCCAGTGCTACCTGTAATCGAAACGATGCTGCCTAGATAGGTGAAAGAGACTACTTTCTTTAAGTTTTTCCGGTTAATGGTGATTGGTGCTTGTTGTTATTTTTGTTGGTTGGGTATAACAATGGGAAATTACAAATATGAACGAATAATAAAGTCATATTAACTTTGTGTGCTTTATCATAAGCAGCTGCGTAGACACTCATTTATTGTGAATGCAATTATTTCGTTAAATACTTAAAGGTGAAACACTTTATGAATTATCAATATATTACTCGATGGATTTCAACGCCATCATGTAGCGAAACAGAACTTCTAAAACACCAAGGTCCTTATATGATCAGTGAAAATCTCATGTCTGGGCATCAAAGGTTTAAAACACGGACAGTGGAAGCCACTCCCTAGCTCATAATACTTTTGAAAACTTGTGTGTATTAAAACCATTGAAATCATGAAAATCATTCCAATGAAAATTCACTTCACAATCGAAAATTGAAACGCAATTCTTGATGTACTTATGTAGCTAAAAATAAATAACTACAGAGTTTCAAAACATTCTTCAGTATGTATTAACCTTAACCTATTCAGATATCATGTGAAAGATATGTATACATATGCCGCTCGTCATAACTACAGTATTATATAGTAACAAGGAGATTTCATGAAAAGCGTGAATAAAGTTCAAGGGTCAGTGTTAACTAATACCAAAGCGTAGAGCAATATGAATCATATGTCAATATAACGCAACAAAAAATGACCAATATACCACAGAATTGCTTGTTTTCATAAAGATAGGACTTAGTTGGGTTATAGACAAATTTAACACGAGAAAATTACAATAGTTTGAATAAAAAATTCTGGACGATAACAAAGAGAAGAGAAAACGATTTTACTATAGAAAAATACTTGAATACATATCAAAGTAACGACAAAATATTCATCTTCACACAGTTCAAGATCAACTAAGTCAATATGCACAGCATTCATCTTACAAAGTAGATGTCATCCCTTCTATCAACTTGATTTCATCTTAGAGATGTAATATTCTGAGTGAGCTAACAAAACAACTCTTTGACAGACGAACTTATAGAAATAACTGTATTACTATTTATTGACATACTTGTTATTCTCTGTTGCTTTGTTGGATAGAATAAGACGAAACGAGCGTCCTGGATTCTTCTGCTAGCCACAATCAACCAATTTATCATAACTAACTGTATCGTTGTTAAATTTTAGCTTGGTGTTCATTTTGAACTAGGTTTTTTGTGTAGAATGATAATCCTATATTCACTATGTCTTCCGTGCATATTTAGTAATTTCTTTAACACAGATTCAAACAGATTCATTTTTCTGAACATAAGAATGAAACTGTTGAACTTAGTTGGTCATGCATTTCACCCATGATATAATAAATCAGCCGTTGAAGTGATCTGTCACTTCATCTAGAAATTTAAGTCTACATGGCGACTCGACTCCAATAGAAAACTAATCGGTAGATGATGATTATTTAGCTCAGTTATTTCATTCTCACCAACAATGAAAATATCACTGGTACACCATTTGTAGACTTTTGAACACTTAGTAGCTGAATGGCATTTTCTAAATTCTCAATAAGCATTTTTATTGTTATTATCATTATTTTACCCTAGGGTTCCTAGTGCAACATAGGGCTTCATTAGCACACCTCCATTCTACTCTCTTCTCTGCAATCTTCTGAACCTGATTCCACGACTGCCCACAAGCTTTCATTTCTTCCTCACATCATCTCTTCCATGTCACCCTTGACTCAGACGCCCTACTTGTCGTTTCCCCTTTGAATTCCACTCGATAGCCTGGTGTGGCGCGTGATGTCCCCAGTCAGCCTTCTCAGTGTGTTCCCAATCAATAAGCCATGAAGCAGTTGGCAAATAGTGAACCAGTTGGATATCCGACTGATACTCTATCTATCTGCTTGTGTGACAGAAAAGTTGACATACAAAAGAAACAAGATTTGTAGAAGCTACCAGCTTACTAGACACTTTTATATTCCTGACGTCCATTGTTTCTCCTACATCCCAACCTTGTCTATTCAAATCTTTCTCAATTTCTTGATTTTTAATTTCCTGTTTCCCATCTCTGTCTTTATGAACATAGACCCTTTTGAACTCTATTCATTTTTTAGGTTGGCATATTTTTCGTTAGGCTGAACTGACATCTTAATTACTATAGTGTATTCACTTCCGACCTTTACACTTTACGATATTCTGACGTTACACTCTGACCCTTGTTTGGTTTCTTTTCTGAAACCTTTCAGCTGTCATATAACAGTATGGTTATGATGAAAGAGATAGAGAGATGGTTGTTTCGCTGCAGTATTGGGCATAAAATGCTTAAACACATGCTGCAGTTGACTCTGAATAACTTTATCCTCAGCTTCTAGAGTATTTCGTCACTGTTTTTAAATGTTTCCAGATCCGTACATCAACAAGCTTGGAATTTAAGTTCCAGATCCCCTCCCGATTGACTCCAACCAGCTAACACGGAGAACTTTTATTTATATCAGTTAGTTTATTCAGTCAGTTGTTAAGCCATCGTGTGTTACGTAATACTTTCGTCTAAATCTGGAACTCACAGCAACCTCTTGTTCCAGGGATCCTTCTGTTAACAGGTCCTTGTATTACTAGCCTATTGATAAACAAAACTCTTCCTCTTCAAGTCATTTTACTTTAAAGTTCTGGTACTGTATGAGATCCGCTCATCGGTTTGAAAAATGTTTATCAAGACAGTTTTGGTGTGAGTAAACTAATGGATGAAATTTATTGTCGGAGAATGCGATTACCAGCTGACAGTGGAGTAAGTAAGTTTCATAAGAAATTTATAAAAATGCATTACAGTTACATCTGAGGACAAGTACCCAAAGAGAGCATTAGATGGAGGTTGCTAATATGGACCATCTCATGCCTACCCAGTGGTTCAATGAAGTGTTAACCACGAAACATAGGGTTGGTGAATTTAATTTCTAAAGGGCAAGGTCATGACCACCACCTGATAAGGAATCTGATGCTAGGATGAAACAGCTATCCAGTGCTCGCACATTGTCTTCGAAATGAATCCATTTCACACAAACCTCCAACCTGAACAAAATTTCTGTTGAATGCCATCCAGCATATTCATCTTGGTGAATAACAGCTGAACCAAAGGTGTACGTTTCCTCTCATTTGGGACCAGTCAACTGGATCCACCTGCCCCCCCTCCCCTATTCAGTAGTAATGTCGTTCACATTGAGACTCGAACCCAGTACCCACCCCTTCAAATGTCACTGGGACACAATAGCCATGTCTTGACAATTGTGTAAAGATATACCAAACTAGACTGTTGAAAAAAGATTACTTGTAATACCATATTCAGGTAGAATTGATAATTTTCTGTATTCATTTACGCCCTAATCATGCTTAAAATCATTATACCTTGAAAGATTATGCAAACAACATTGAATGACTGATTTATTAATCATAGAAAAACTGTAGGAAAAGAAGAAAAAAAGACGCATAGGAACATAAATAATACAATCTAGGTGAAAGTTATAATCACTTTAGTAACAAAAAAGTTGACAGTAAAAAGGTGAAAGGCGGATGTTATGAATTTACACTTTCTTATATTCATAAATGATGACAGTAACACCTCCACTACCGCCTAATCACAATACTAACTAAGAATTGGAAGATACTAATTTAACACTCATCTTTCAGCTTCACTTATCACTGAATTAG